TACCCATAACAATAAGGAAGCTTCAATCCAAAAAGAGATCACTTTGGCGGAAAAGCAAATCTGGTCACATTGCCAACTTCAAAAGCCAATACAAAAATTTATGCCACCAGATAAAGACTGAATGCACCAATTATCACATTAAATAAGAGGAAACCTTCTACGCACAAATTCCACCCGTGCTTTCTACAATTTTGTAAACAACAAACTAAAAGACTCAAGGTCCATCCCACCCCTGAAAGGACCTAATGGTAAAGACTGCAATGACGACACCATTAAAGCCAACCTCTTTATCACATTCTTTGGCTCAATATTCGTAAACAACAATGGATCATGCCCAGTATTTCCTAGTTGAACCACAGACAACTACAATGATCTAATACATATCGATTTTACTGAAGACAATGTTATGTTACTATGCAATCTAAAACCATCTCTATCTATTGGACCAGACAGAATATGTGCCTACTTCCTAAAAAAGCTATCCACTGCCATAGCTGAACCTCTAAGCATAATCTTTGAAAAATCTTTCAGGACCAACTCCTTGCCTAAACTATGGTCACAAGCCACGGTCATCCCCATCTTCAAAAAGAGAGACCCCAGCCTAGTTGAAAATTACAGACCAATCGCTTTATGCTCCATCACCTGTAAAGTCATGGAAACAATTATTAACAAATCCATCATCCTCCACTTAGAGACAAACAACCTACTCATTAATAAACAATTTGGTTTCAGAAAAAAACTATCCTGTAATCTGCAACTCTTACACTGCAAAAACATATGGACTACACAACTCGATCAGGGCAAAGCAATAGATGCAATCTACATAGACTTCTGTAAAGCCTTTGATTCAGTGGTACACGACAAACTACTACTAAAACTAAAATCTTACAGTATCTCTAGACACCTGCATAACTGGATAGAAGCATTCCTGTCAAACAGACAACAAATGGTCAAAATTGGGAGCATCCTATCAAATTCTGTACCTGTCAACAGTGGTGTCCCCCAAGGTAGTGTTCTAAGACCAACTCTCTTCATGCTCTGCATAAATGACCTCAGTGATCATATTAAGAGCAATTGCGTTCTCTTCACTGATGATGTAAAGCTATTCAACACCACAGACAATACTGCTACTCTTCAAAAAGACCTTGAGACTATGTATCGAAATGGTCAAACAAATGGCATCTTCAAATCTCAACAAATAAATGCTCTGCCCTACATATTGGCAGAAGAAAAATCAGAAAATAAAATACAGGCTGAAAAGTCAAGACCTTGTTGATGATCCAAACTCTGTCAGGGATATTGGAGTACTCATCTCTAATGATCTAAGTGCTAGAGCCCACTGTAACTACATAGCCAAAAAGGCATTAAGAGTGGTTAACCAAATCTTACATTGCTTTTTCTCTGGAAATATTACACTACTATAGCATACAAAACATTTGCTAGACCAATACTCAAATGCAGCTCATCAGTCTGGAACCCACATTACATATCTGATATTAACACAGTTGAGAAAGTCCAGAAATATTTCACAAGAAGAGTTCTCCATTCCTCTACTCATTGCAGAATACCTTATGCCATCAGACTTGAAATTCTAGACCTACAATATCTAGAACTACGCCGCCTTCGGTCCGATCTAAGTATAGTATATTAAATCAGATATTGCAATGTCCTACCTGTCAATGAATACTTCAGCTTCAACCATAACAACACTAGAGCAAGCAATAGATACAAACTCAAGGTTACTCGCACCAAACTTGATTGCAGGAAATACGACTTCAGCAACAGAGTGGTCAATGTCTGGAATACTCTACCTGACTCTGTGGTTTCTTCCCCAAACCCCAAAAACTTTAACCTTAGACTGTCTACTATTGACCTCACCCCTTTCCTAAGAGGTCTGTAGGGGGCGTGCATAAGTGCACCAACGTGCCTACCGTCCCTGTCCTATTGTTTCTTTTATTTTATTTTTTTCTTATATGTATCCATGTATACATAACTATGTTTTTACTTATACCTATTATCTTGTAAGCAATTGACAAACCAAATAAATAAATAAATAAAATAAAGCCCCAGAGCTCATTATAACAGCATTGCCAAAAAGATATTTAGAGTTGTTTACCTTTTTTTGCGAGGCTTCTTCTCCGGTAATATTGAATTTCTAACTAGGGCATACAAAACCTTTGCCAGACCATTTTTGGAATATAGCTCGTCCACCTGGAACCCATACTGTATATTGGACATTAACATGATTGAGTGGGTTCAGAGGTATTTCTTGCGAAGAGTACTCCACTCCTCTACTCACAATAGTATTCCCTGTGCCTCCAGTCTTGAAATTTTGGGCTTGGACAATCTGGAACTGCATCGCCTGCAGTCCAATCTAATCATACTTCACAAAATTGTCTGCTATAACATCTTGCACATCAACAACTTCTTCAGCTTCAATCACAATAATACATGGGCAAACAACCAATACAAACTCAAGGTAAACCACTCCAAACTCGATTGCAGAAAATGCAACTTAAGCAATGGAGTAGTCAACGCCTGGAACACCCTACCCAACCCCGTTGTTACAGCCTCAACCCCTCACAGCTTCAACCTCAAACTGTCTACTGTGGACCTCACCCCATTTTAAAGAGGTCCTTAAAGGGAGCATGCATAAGCGCACCAGCGTTCCTACTGTCCCTGTCTTACTGTCCCCATTTATCTGTATTTACTTCCTTTGTTCATGTTTGTGTTCATACCTATACTTGTTATCTTTTACATGTTTGACAAACAATAAATAAATAATAATAAACATTGTTAAGTGTGAATTGCAGCTAAGAAAATATCTATAGTTTCTGAATGACCATGGTAAGCAGCTTCATGGAGAGCACATTGCAGTGAACTAGCCAAGAGGTGATGAATGTATGAACTATTGTTTTGCCTGGCCTGTCAGCTCCAAATAGAACCTACAGTAGCTATTCAGTCCATAATCCCTTGTAGGGTTTCTCTCCAGTGTAAATTTCATTAGAGGAAATAGAAACCCATGTTATGACTTTAACCTTTGGGCATAGATTCACCGTGGAGATCTGTCTCCTAGTATTTAGAAAGACTGTGAAAAATAGCTCTTTTACATAGCTTTTAATGTCATAGTCCCAGAGATAATAATTGTATGAAGAGGAGAATTAGAGTTTTAGTAAGTTTTAATATTTTAGCATTTGTTCCACACCCTGGCATGTTTTTCATAAAACATAGTTTTGTACTATATAAACTGCCATGGTTTTGTACTATATAAACTGCAAGTCCTTAAGAAATATGGTGGACTTAATATGATGTAAGCAAGCCAACAATAAATAAATGGCATCTCACTTTCCATCTGCTACTTTAAAAATATCTGACTATGGATAATGCAGAATATTTTAGAAGACTGCTTTTCTTAGATTATAGTACTGGCAGTGATTGCCTATTTAATAGTTCCAGCAGGGTTGGCAGCCCTAGGTAATCTGATTTTTATTGTCAGATATTCACATTAATGTAATGGTATTAAACCTGTGTCACTGTATTACTATTCTTGATTCTTGATGAATGTATTTTATTTTTTTCTTATGTACTCTGAGAGCATATGCACGAAAGACAAATTCACATTTGGCCAATAAAGAATTCTATTCTATTCTATTCTATTCTATTCTATTCTATTCTATTCTATTCTATTCTATTCTACTCTACTCTACTCTACTCTACTCTACTCTACTCTACTCTACTCTACTCTACTCTACTCTACTCCACTCCACTCCACTCCACTCCACTCCACTCCACTCCACTCCACTCCACTCCATTCCATTCCATTATACTCTATTCTATTCTACTGCATTCTTGTTAAATTGATTCATTTTCTGATCTTGTTTCACATTCCAAACCATCTGTCTATGGCTGAATTGAAGAGCCGGACTTTTATTATTGCAGTCTATTCTGAAGAATGACAGCTTACAAATTTTTCCATTTGTAATTTTTCAGTTTCAAGAAGAGACTGCACTGCCATTTGTCAGAAATTATGTAGGGTCTCCTGCTTGGGTGAAAGGTTGGACTAGATGACCTACAAGGTGCCTTTCAACTCTGTTAGTCTGTTGTAGCTGTTATTCAATCACAGAAATAAATAAATTTAAGAATTACATCAAAGGTATTTAGAGAACACATTGAAGTGACGAGATCAGTCTTTGTTCTGTCCCCCATTTATTCCAAATATTTTGTAAACTGCGTTATTTTGATGACATTCTACATTCTCAGAAAACAATAGAGTCTAATTCAGAATTTTTAAACAATTAGATTTCTGATATTTGTGGTAGAGTTTGAGCCCTACCACTAGGTGGAACAAATCTAGGGTATGGAACAATTACCTATGTGACAGCTACCAGGAAGATTAGACTTCTTTCTGGTTGCTGGAAAAACCCAAGTACCTTGGTAACATTATGGTTGTTTATTCATTGTATTTCCATAAATATAAAATGTAAACACATTTCTCAGTCTTGTAATGAAGATATCAATGATCACATTTCACATGCAATGATTTCCAACTTACGTGACTAGTTTCTGAACTTACATATATTTATTAAATCCTTATGACTGATCTAATCTAATATGCTGTCAATATAAGAAATGTAGTTTTAAAAAATGTAGAATACTTCCAGGGATTTTCTTGTAGCATATGTTTTCTTACTTAAAACAAAACAAAGCACTGTGGTATTATCCCATTCTAACCTCATTCATTTTCATGAAGAATCACACCAGCAAAGAACTGAAACTGAAAAGAATAAAATAAAATCTCTGATCTGCAAAGTGTCCTGAAATAATACTTTTGGCTTAGTCCACAATGATAGTCTAGGAGGAGACTATTCTTTTGTTTCCATTTGTTACCCGGTAACAGAAGATTTATTTTTGGCTCTTATTTCATATTTATTCCACTGTAAAATAAAAAAAAACCAGAAGAATGAATAGCCAAGTGTTAATTTGCTGCTCTTTTTCTGCAGTGTTGATAACAGGGCTCCTTATCTGGCTTTGGGAGCTGTGAAGAACATCTCGCTGAACGTCACCATTGCTAACATTGGGGATGATGCTTATGACACAAACATCGCTTTCAACTTTTCCAGAGAGCTTTTCTTTATCAAAATGTGGCAAAAGGTAGGCACAATCAGTATATCAGACAGGCAAGTTCATCATTTTTATTGTTGTTAAAATGAAGTAATTAAATTAGAATTCTCCACTTGTATGGTAGTAATAGGAGATAGGCAAGAGAGCCTGGATTTATTTTGATTGATTTTTTCCTTAAATTTAAATGAACTCTTCTAAGAAAAAGGCTAAATAGAAATCTTTTATTTCTGAAGCGTTTTGTCTAAAGTATTTTGTTATGAAAGTAAAAAACAAAATATAACCAAATTGTCTGCTGGTTTGTAGAAATTGTAATGTTGTAATGTTAATAATATTTGAAATTGGTCATACATAGGCAGTAACCTCTTCCCACATAGTACCTTAGTTATGCAGAATTCCTAATTTAAGTTGAAGTAACATAAAATTATAGCACCGATCAGCATAACACTGATTCAGTATTTATTTCTTTTTTAAAATTTTATTTTTACAAACATTCCATCTTTTCTTTAAACATAGTGTCATCTGGGTACAGATATCTTGTGTCATAATATTTATGGTCTCAAGTCTCTAACTCTTCTCGGGATTTATTTTAAGACTGTTATTCCTTTCCCTTTATATTTCAAAGGGTCATTTCTCGCTCTCTGCAGGATTTTTGTTTTTATGGCTTTTTAAATAAATCTCACATGTATCTCTCTAGGCAATTTGTTTCTCTAGTGTGTACTCTAAATATTTTGTCAATATCAGCCAACATTTTTTCTTTAGTCACCTCCAGGCCCTGGCCAGTATCTCTGCCATAATCTCCCTTTTCTTCCTCCATGTTTTGAAATCTCAAGTAAAATCTGCCTGGTCCATTTCTAATGAAATTATTGGTTTTTCTTTATTTTCTTTATTTTGGTCAGCCAATGTAAGTCTATAAGCTCTCCCACCCATTTTTCTGTTAAAACTACTCTTGCTTCTACTTTTTGCATACATTCTTCCTTTTTTACCATCATTTGTTGAATGTTCTCTGCTTTATCTTCTATTTTCCCTACTTTCTCTTCTACTCTCCCCATTTGTTCCTTCAAATCCTCATGAATTGCTTATATCATTGCTTTAATCTCTGCTTGCATCAAGCTGGCTTTCTCTTGCTGTAACATAGTCTTCAGGATCCTCTGTCCAGCAGGGCTTGAAGTAGCAGAGGAGGATGCTGAAGATGGTGCAGACATTGTTTTCTTCATTTTGAAATATTTATTTTTATAATTCACCATAGGTTGACCTTACAGCTCAATTGTAATACAAAAAGAAATGAAATAAATTCCAGTCTAAGTCCAATTTTCTTTTGCTTCGGGTTCTTCTTACCTTAATCCAAAATTTTATTGATAATAGAAAAAAGAGAAACAAAAAAGGAGAAGAAAAAAAACAAAAAGGGGAAAGTAGCAAGTTGTAATCCAAATTGGCCCACCAACCTTTATAGTAATTAATCCTCAATTATTATATTTCCAACCAGAAAAAAATTGTAATCCAACAAATTGTAATCAATTGTAATCCAACAAAGGGGTACAAATATCAGCTCCCATCCCCATCCAGAGTTCTTTTTTCTTCAGGTTCTTCTTACCTTAATCCAAATTTTAAATAGAGTAGTCAATATAGAAATAATCAATACAGAAAGTAACCATTGAACAAAACAGGAAAAAAGAAGGATGAAAAATCCACCCCGTAAATAACAAGTTGTAATCCAGATTGGCCCACCAGCCCTCAGCCTTCAATATTCTATTATTGTATTTCCAGAAAAAAAGAGATTTCACAGAGCAAACTCAAAGGCACCAGAAAAAAGAAAAAACGTAATCCAAGAGAAAGGGAACCCTTTTAGTGTTCATTTCTCAGTTGTCTGATTTATTTTCTAGTTCCAAGACCTACACTGTTCAAAATAAAAGTCTCAGTGTTCCACTTTTGCCTTTCACTTTCTGACAAAATAACTCTGTTATCTTTCTATTCTCATGTAGTCATGGTCAAATATTTTAGCCTTTTCTCTTTTCAGTCTTCAGTCTTCAATTTTCAATTCAACCTTCAGGTGGCACTGTTGCTCTGTTTTCTCTTTTCTCTTCCTTATGTTATCTCAATATAAAGTATAGTTCTTTATCTTTCTGCATTTTATAGTTGAAAACGAGAAAAACATAAATCTAATTTTCAGTTTTAATACTATCCAGCCTGTCCTGTCCAGCTGGACCACCAAACAGATGGGATTTTTAATTATCCCAGCCTGTCCAGTCCAGCTTCAATACCAAATTTCTTTCAGGAAGTCCATGATTAATTGCTTCCTCATTCAATTGGCTTTTTAAAACAACCTTTCCTCTCCGCTTACATAGGTGGAGTGGAGGGAAACCCACTTCCATCTTTCTCTTTTAGCCTCTCCTTCACCCCACTTTCCCAAGGGGTGCTTTTTCTCCAATAATTGATTTGGTTTAAATTTCTTATCCAGAACAATCACACTTTCTTTCCAGTTCTCTTTCTTCCGGTAGCTGTCCTAGCTTTGTAGAGGTTCACAATGGCTGCTTTTCCTTGCTGTCAGCTTTGAAGGCTTTCTCTGGATCAACCAGGGAACTTGTGGATTCTGTGGGATCGATGGAGTGTGCCTTCTTCAATTATCTCCCCTCTGGGATGATTTAGGTCCAGCTGGACCGCCAAAAAGATGGGATTGCCCCTGAGCTCCGGAAAAGCACGTCGTATCGCTGCACTGTCAGCTCCACCTACAGTATTTATTTCTTATATCCCACCTTTATTATTTTTACAAATAACTCAAGGTGATGAACATTTCCAACATACTTTCCTTTTCCTATTTTGTCAACAAGAACAATCCTGTGAAATGGGTTGGGCTGAGGGAGAATGACTGGCTCAAGGTCACCTAGCTGGCTTTCATGATTAATGTGGGACTAGAACTCATGGTCTTCCCACTTTCTAGACAGTTGCTTTAACCACTTGACCAAAGTAGTCAATATTTATTTATTGTACTAATTAAAAGATCTTTCTTCTTTCTTAAGAAGAAGCATATCAGCAGAGGTTCCATATTTTATAATGTGACAGGGTTCATACGAAAACATTGGAGCTTCTATCTTTATAGTGTAACATTTATTTTGTCATTTATCACCTTAAACACTTGTTTTTTTCTTCTATCCTTGTATTCTAATTCTTCCTTCTATTTTGATGGTCTGGAAAATCTCTCTCAATAAATAATTGTCAATAGAAACAGTAGTTCTAAGAATGCTTACTTAAGTCAAATACTGAAAAATCTTTACTAGACATTTATTTGTCATTTATTTATTTAAAAGATTAGTATGTCCTCCCATCTTAAACACCTCCGGGTGGCTCATAACAACAAGTTCATCAAAGGTGTTAGATTTTCTGCTTACAGTTTTTCCAATATAGTAAATATAGTAATTAAATCTAACCCTATCTAACAAAATGAAATTCAATGTAGAGAAAAGTAAAGTCTTGCACTTAGGCAAGAAAAACCAAAAGTTTACAAATATAGACTGGGTGAAACCAGGCTTAATAGCAGTAACTGTGAGAGGGATTTTGGAGTCTTATTGGACAACCAATTAAATATGAGTCAATAGTGTGTGACGGTGGCCAAAAAAGTAAAAGCAATCCTAAATTGCATTAACAGAGATTCAATCAAGATCAAGTGAGGTACCAATATCATTCTATTAAGCCTTAGTAAGATCATACCTAGAATACTGCATCCAGTTTTGGTCAGCACACTATAAAAAAGATGTTGAGACTCTAGAAAGAGTGCAGAGAAGAGCAACCAAGATGATTAGGGGACTGGAGTCTAAAATATATGAAGAACAGTTACAGGGACTGAGCACAGCTAGTCTAGTGAAGGGAATGACCAGGGGAGACATGATAGCAGAATTTACTGACAGTGAGAACAATCAACCAATGGAACAGCTTGCCTTTAGAAGTTATGGGAGCTTTATGACGAGGCTTTCAAGAAGAGACTGGACTGCCACCTGTCAGAAATGGTGTAGGTCTTCTGCTTGAGAAGATTGGACTAGATGACCTACTAGATCTCTTACAACTCTGTTAAATCTATTAAATATAGTAATTTAATTTAGGTAATGCAGATTTTATTTTGTAACTTCTTGGATTCCATACAACCCTGCTTCATAGGACATTACCATTCCTAAATATATATTACTACATCATATTATCTATATTATGTATATTAAGCTAGATAGATATTAGAAGTTCCCATTACTGCATTCTTTCAAGATCTAATTAGTAATTATTTTACTGAAAATGTGACAGAAGTTGTCCCTTGCCATCAAATTCCTTCTTTTTTGTCTGCACCGTTAGTTTTGTGAAAATGTACATGTTTTTTTATTCTGGGGATGAGGAACGAAGATGTTTATAGAGTCGTTGAGATTCCTTTCTCAGAGGTGTTGACCACATTGCATCTCTGTTGTATTCAGCTACAGCTGTGCTCTTATTCCCAACTTAATATCTGAAAAAGCTTATGTGAACATCCTGTACTGTGTGTCTGTGATCATGAAGAAATAAGAATTTGTAACAGGAAGAAGGAAATAAATCCTCAGTAAATAAGTCAAGGATGTAACCTTTAGTTGACACTGGATATTCTTTAAAGTGTCATTAACATTCCAGTGTTCTTTAAATAAATTGTTCCTTGGGATTGAAATAATTCAATTTTCAGGGATAAAAGGAAAGGTTACAGCCACTACGTTAACTAAACTATTTTTCTTCTTGATGAGATTTATGTGGTTTCCTCTCATTTAATAATTTAACGACATTTAAATACCCCCCCCCAACTCAATCTCATCAGTGATTCTGGTTGCCTTACAAGGATAAAATATCAATACAACCCCCCCCCCCCACAATAACACTCCACTTCCCTGGCAACAAAAACAAACCAGCCACTCCGTATCACCCAGGCCCTCTTGACACTTAGTGGCTGGGAATAGGAAAAGTATTTCCTTGACATCCTATTATCTCTAACTAATCTTGCCTGCTTCTCAAATCCCATGGAAAATTAGCTG